TTATTAACCAGAAAATGTTTAAGTTGTTTACGAAAATGGCAAACTGCTACACCGCCTTATCACCGATTAACTGCCATGCTGATTTGAATTCCATTGCAACTATTACGCGGGTAGACCATGTATCATCAAGTATCTTGCAGATTGGATTGGTTAGACAAATTTACTATAACACTCATGATGGTCAGACCACTAGGTTGCACTGTCCCGCACTGTAAAGTGATTTACCGTTTACTTATTTATGATGAGAGGTTGACTTCGAATTTCTGACGGATTTAGTTGCAGTGGAATTTTGAGTTGCGAGAAGTAGATTCGGCTGGGTCGCTTCCACCAATGCGTATCGACAACATTCCGCGACGAAACACTAAAAAAACGAAACGATCGCAACCGTATCCTCTATACTACACATTCAAGAAACCAGTCAAAAACACAGCCATACTCTTAAAGTGCGTCTGCCCTAAACAGCTTTTTAAGGTCGGTAGATGTGGGACAAGAAACGCTCCTTCATGTTCAGCGCGGTGCGCCAGTCGAATGGTACATCACCGATGAATGGGCCATTACGGTGGGAACTTTGGTTAAAGCATTAGCTAGAAACAGCGACTAGATCGCCGTCGCCTGGCGACTTCCCTAAGATCGCCGACACAGTAGCGGATGGTTTTCATCCTAACTCAAATGTGTCTTCCAGCTTTGTCACAGCTATCATGTAGTCACAACGCGGTTTCGCTTTCTTGTCGTCCAAACGCTACCTCAGCGTCGCAGAATTTAACTACTGTCTTAGCGAAACTGGCATTCAACGTCCCGCCAGGCATTCGAGAAACATAAGCCACAAGTCACCTAGCCAGAACGACCCTTCAGGTAGCATTGCCGTTTTGGTTCGCAAGCCAAACGTTGCAGTACACCCTGTACCATTAATTCGACGCAAAAAGGAAACGTTCGGACTGCGACGTAGAGGCGACCAGCGGCACTGACCCATGTGAGTGCAGTCGCCTCCTTTATGTTAAGAACTGTTAGATCTGGAACCGCAATTTTGGCTGACACCAGAGCTGATGCAAGATTGGTTACGGGAACCTTGTAACACCCGAGGACACCGTTACAAACTCAGGGTCCCCTGCATGAACAAAGTATCACATCAGCTTTGTATAGAACGAAGAATCGTAAACTTATGGAACACACTACCAGGAAGATCAATAGAGGCCGATTCTGTTAAGTGCTTTAAAACACGTATTAACGATTATTTCGGAAACCTGTGCATTTGTGAAACGATGCACATACAATGCCAAGACATCTTATGCCCGGGAATAATGACACCAATACGAATTCCTAACCGAACAAGGATGAACGATTAACTTACCAAACACAACCGCTGATGATTCACAACTAAATGTTTTTGATTTTTCATAATTCGCTAGAGTTGTACAGAAACCTTTCTACTTGCTCTTAAATAGAGTTTCAGACTGCACCTGGGGAGCTGTCTACCATCAACCTTCCTGCCACCAACAGCACACTCATTCCAATTTACGACTAACGATCCTTAACTATTAACTCCGGTTTCTGCATAAGTTTTCGTTTGGTGATCACTAGAACCACCGCTACGTTTGCCATCATCAACATGGACTTTCTCAGCAATTTCGACCTCTTGGACGACGCGTATCAAAAGAGAGTAGTCAACTCAGCAACGACGCTTACTGTACCTGACACCTAAGCCGGCATCTCCGCTATCATAACCGGATCTCCACCAATTACCCTATGCTAGTTGAACCAATGAACGTGCCTCTGCCCGTGGCATGCCAAGTCGCGCACCACTTTTAGACAAATGACGCACCCACCCCATGCCGTTCATATCGAATTTCACTCGAGAAACAACGTAGCTACAGCGGAGCTGGAGCACATGCTCAAACTCGTGATAATCCGCCATTCCGACCGTACTTGGTACTCTCCACTGCAGACGGTTCTTAAGAAATAAAGTAAATGGCCCAAATGCGGTGACTACCGCACACTCAATAGGCTAACCGTCCCAGACAGGTATCCAATAGCATACATGCAGGGCCTCACTACATTCTTCACAGGTAAGGCGGCCTTCAGTGAGATGGATCTAGTTCGTGCCCTTCCCAAAACCTGTTCAGGAAAAAGCCACTTCTAAAACAGCCGCCATCACTCCCTTCGGCCCGTACGAATTTTAAAACATGACTTTCGGACTGTACAACGCGGCACAAATTTCCCAACGCTTCATTCACGATGTCAATAGTGGTATAGACTTCGTCTAGTAGCCAATTCAACTGAAAACACTTCGACCATCTCTGTTCTCTTTTCCAGCGGTTGATCCAACACGGTGTCACAGTTAACCGGAACTCGGCAAGTCAACAGTAGAACTCCTACGCCAAGTCTCATCGCCCAGTATCGCAGTTCTTACTGATAAGATCCACGCAACTAAGGACTTCCCATTTCCGACCTCATTCAAGCAGATCCGTCGCTTTTGTGGTTTGGTCAACTATCGACGCTTCATTCCCCGCTGTGACCAGATCATGCGGCCTTCGACTGACCTCCTAAGAGCAAATGAACGTAAGTCCGCTTATCCGGACACTTGAAACACAGCCATTACCGAGCTAAAGGATGCTATCTTCAACACAACTCTCCGCACTCATGTCGAATCTACTGCACCTATCATTATCACGACTGATGCCTAAGGCGTCGCGGTAAGAGCTATCCTCCAGAAACATGTCGGTGTACAATGTCATCTTATTGGTTTATTCTCTAAACGCCTGTAACCAGCGGAATCCAGCTACAGCACGCGTGGTATACAACTGCTTGCTATCTTCTTAAGGATTCGCCGCTTGAAGCACACCCTCAAAGGTGGCGCTTTCACATCCCACACTGACCACAAGCCTCTCATCTTCACCAACACAGCCTCCGACAAATACTCACCACGGGAAACCAGCCACTTAGACTTTTTCACACAGTTCGCTGTTGACATACGTCATATTTCAGGTGTCGACAACCCCGTCGCCGACATTCTCTCAAGTGTCAACCTCACCCTTCAGTTTTTGCTTACTGGCACGAAGACCTCCAACGCATCATGTAGTCCACTTCACTGCTTGTGCAACCCATTCCTCTCCAAATCACGGAAGAAACTATCCTGTGACTTTTTCACAGGTTATCCTAGACCGCTCGTGCCTGTCTCCTTCAGACGTACTATCACATCTCGGTGTCCGGGTATCTATGGGACTTTTCACCGAACGTTTTGTTTGGCCACGCGAAAACAAAGATCCTCATAATTTAGCTCAAGCTCATCTTCACTGCCAAGTACGTCACATCCGCAGCCCACTCGGCTAATTCCCGCACCAGAGCCCAGATGCTCACACGTACGCCTGGACCTGGCAGGACCCTTGCCTCCTTCTGACGGATCAGTGTACATACCAACACGTGTGGAGCTGGTCTGCGACACATCAATTAAGATGCCAGGAGAGTTCCTTTCACTCCCCTTGCTTTTGTGTATGCTACCGACTAACTTTATATCTCAACGCATGTGTTTGCTGCGCCCGGTTCCTTCTCCTGAGCAGAACAGAGAGATTCAAATTGACGATGAGATACTTCGCCTAAACTCACATTACCGTTCGCACAAACGCAGACAGCCGTCCTTTCCAGTCTCTCTACACTAGCCACTTCAGGGTTTCCAACAAACTCAGAAGCCCTCTCCACGATAAACCAGAATGGTCAACGAACAATAATGTTCATCGCTTATTTCAATGTTGCCTACTTCGAAGACCCGACTATAATCTCACCTGTTCCGACCACACAAGTACACCCACTGCAACGGCATCTTCCGTACAAGTCACTCTTGACCCCCTGCATACCTAGCCTCAATCCTGGGCAACTGACCGACGTGGTAGACATTTCGAACGTTCGGTGCGTATTTCAGATTTTGTCAACGTTTGTCATTTGCCTTATTGAGTTCCCCCCTAGGTTAACCACGTGTCAACCAAAAATGTTCTACAAAAGCATAACCCAGGAAGCTTGAATAAACTTAAAAAGACGCAATACTGTTTGCTTACACTATTCATCTCGTTTTTTACACGGCGTCATGCCGCGTGCTTCGACCACGTCCCAAGCCTTCCTAGAATTTCGCATTCCAGTCACCCGAAAAACCGCGTCATCTTTTTGCCCACCTGCTCGCAGCCTCAGGCCCCATCACATTGCCTCTGAGAGATCGCAATTCCACTTACAGGTGATGAAAACAGCCGGCTTGGCTTGCAAGCACGTTTTCCAAACGACGAAGCTTGGATTTCTACATGGGACGTGGATCGTTTTGGCTGTTGGCTAGGGTGTACCGGGAGAAGTGACACCTCCCAAGCGCAACGTCGTGCCAGCAAAGAAATGGCCTATCGGCTTTATTTTCTAGACTAACCAGATTTTGCAGTCCCACGAGCTCGCACCGACGATGCACTCCAGCTAACAAGCTCAGACCCATTGAACTCCAGGCGCCGCGTTTCTGTGATGTCTGCGCCCACTCTATTTATTGGTAATAAGCATAATGTATATTTTTCGTGGAACCAAGACACCGTGCCCATGAAAGACGGATCGTAATTGATAATCGATTCTCATCATCCCTTATTTCCCCTCCTGATATCTTTAGCAAAGCCTTTCCTCACTCAGCCTTCTAGGGAGGAGACATCTGTAGTGAACGTGGACTCAGTATTTTCGACACTGAATTTGATCGTTTTTTGTATCTTCCGATCGTCCATTCAGTTTCACTAATTGTATACCCTGTTCACTTTCGATTGCTCTGAGTCGTGCTCTATCTTGCTCCGGTGCTATTGCTAATCTGCTCTCAGCTCCGTCCAGCTCTGCACAATACACGTTTGGTCGGGCAACTCTTGTACTTCTGAGAAACCGGTATCTAGAGCTAGTATCACTTGCCGCCGTCGCAACCAGTATCTGAATCCCAGTCTATAATAATCATTTGTTTCATTAAAGTATAAGAGTAGACACTTGCAAGAGACAGGGGTGATCAAGGAAAGCAATTTCACTTTCCCACATACCAAGCCGCAGTGAGTCTGCGGAGAATGGGCCATCAGCCGGGAAATTTAACCATGATGTCACGATCCAGCACAGTAAATTCCATCGCAGATCAGGCAGAGAGTGTGTGAAGCGATTCTAGACAACGCATGAGTAAAATGACACTAGTATTGAGGATGTTTCATGTACGATGCCAACGATGGAAGACGTACCTAGGCAAGTGTAGAATGAAATGAAGAAGAGGATGCGGTCGAAAGAAAAGTCGAGACAGCGAAGTTAAGCGGAAAAGATAATCAGTGGCGCTGGGTGTTAGTGACTGAACATATACAAGATTGGAAGCAATACGAATTGAGGTGAATTTACAGCCTCATTTCATTTTTTCTAGAAATCGTTGTGAACAGAGAAAAAGTTTGCAATGAAAGAATGCAACTGGAAAGGACAGGTAGAGAAATAATCGTGAGAGCAATCACATGTGATAGGTTGTACAAAAAAGAGACACCGTACCAAATATTAAAGTATAGTCAGGTAGAAATTGACCGAGTGATGCGACCGGCTGTACAGGTGCCAACGAAGTGAAATGAAGGCGGGTGGATAGGAAGTAAAGTGCAAAAGCACGAGGAGAATGCTTTGAGCGGCAAATGTGTCGAAAATCGCTAGAAATCACATTCGAAAGTCCGGACCGAGGTGGACCAAATAGAAGGGATATGGATAACGCGACGAGTCTGATAGGCCAGTTGAACTCTTCGCTCATTGGCGATTCACGACAGTCACTATTAGGAAAAAATCGAAATGCAGATGAGGCTAATCGAGAGAGGAAATCGCGACATCAGACTGGAAGGGACTACAAGGTATATAATAATCATGAGGTGGAGGATTTCGATTATCGCAATGCAAACACGTGCGAGATAACACAGTATGAAACTGACAGCTTTTACTTTATAAAAGCTGTGTTGCAAGACTGCAGGCAATAAAAAGGCTGTGTTGCCACTCGACCGAGGATCGATGGTATAAAATATTCAAAAGATATGACTTTGCTTACGGATTTCACGTGATACGGCGTGAGATGTATGGTTATGAGCGTGTCAACAACTGCGACATGGATTGTTTTGATCTGTAGTGGCAAATGCACGACTTCACGGTGGAGCAGGCAAAGAATGATGGCACATTCACCATCTGCACTGATCAACTGAACCAATCATGATGGTTTAGGTACTAGGCCTGTCGAGTGATAAAACTGTGAAGACTGTGACACTATTGAGCATCACATAAAAACGGAACTATCTACCACATACATTGATACCATTGCCGGAAACATCAGCCTGAAGTGGGGTACATTACAAATCGCGGCAATTTGCTGGCGCCGTAACACATAACCATTGACTGAGTAGGTGAGGCGACCTAACTGATGTTAAGGATTGTACTAATAGGATTTAGCGAGTGATAAATTAGAGAAACACAGGGATTATACAAATAAAACTGACATTGATGTTTAAGAAGGAAGAGAGACGGGTTTAGACGCAGAAGTAGTAGGAACAGGAACGCTGATTCGTTTAAGGAGTAAACATAAGCGTTAAATGGAACAGCGCGATAGGGAAAACTAACGGCAAAGGCAGAATGCACCGGAATGGATAAACAGCGAAGAATAGTGCAGAATGTACTAACCACATAAACTTGGTCATAAGGGATTCATTCGGAGCTGGTCAATCGCTCGTCGCTTCACTTGAGATCCAATTCGCGGATTGCTGTCCAACGCACGTGTAAGCAATTCAGTGAGAAAGCTAGCGGTGTAAGACGGAGATGTCGCATCGACCGATTCGAATGCCGAGATGAGCTCGTCGATTGAAATGGCAGCTCCACTTCGAATCTGATCGTACACTCCGCGGAGCTGTAAAGAGGTGCGACCGAAAGTAAATTGGTGAAATAAAAGGCGGATAGAAAAGTATCGGAGAGCACAGATGATTGCGGTTGCATAGGCTAAATAGCGAAATGAGAAAAGTAGTTGTGGTTGGCCTAGTGGTGATACATCTTCGTTAGCTTTCTACAGGAAGAGCACATCAAAGGTGATGTCAAAGTCAGGGAAACGTGATGTAAGTTGCTTGATCAGTTTTCACAAGCCTAGCAAGAACCCGAGGCGCAGCGAAGCATCACTCAAAACGACAATAATACACAGGCTGGTTTAATTCAGCAGCTGCGATAGAAACATCCCAGGTACGAATGTCAAAACTCAGTTAGAATAAGAGGAAAAAAGGTGGAAGGAGAACAAAACGCTATGAAAGCGAAAGGATGTGAAGATGAGATTGGCTTTGGTTTACTTCTGGTGATGAAATGCGGCCATGCGTGGAGGTGCGACGTACACACAGTTCTGGAGGTTGATGTCAACCTAAGGGCCAACTCCGCAGCGCATGGAGGCGAGTCAGTCGTATTTGGTTCACCTACTTTGTCAGCCACACCTGAGCGGTTGCAATGTGGATGGGGATGTTTTGGCTACACGAAGTGTAAGCTGTCCGCTGCATCAACGGTGAAGGAAATCTGAGTGAAAGCGGGGACGCATGAGTGATCAAATCAACCGGAAATACTGGGGTGATGTGATCAGCTTGATGCAAGTGCATTCACCAGTTCGGTAGGTCCCATAAAGTGTAGTAGTGAAACTGGTGCTAGTAATCTGTGCTACTAATACACAGCCTGTAGTTAGTGCTGTGTCGCAAATGCTAACCGCAGTTAAGCAATCCCAGATGCATCTATCCGACAAAGATAGGCGACTCCTCTGATAGTTCGCATCAATCGTAAAAATCATGTTATTTGCATACCTAGCCACTCGAATTGTGCAAGCGGTTGTTCAAATAATTAGTCACATGTTTTCGGGTTGCATTCAGTAGGAGCAGGTGATGAGGCTATGAAAGAGCAATTTGCCCTGGTGCCTATGGTTATTAACATTGGGAAAAACATCGACCATGTGTCTGCTGAGGATGCCTGCAATCACTTAAATGCTGCTATTCGTTAAACGGACATCACCGCAGAAATGAACAGTGTAAGCTCCCCTATTAAAACTGTGTCAAATAACCACATTTTCATTGGAATGTAAGGGTGTTTCGGACATAAAGCGAAAATAAAATAAGAGCTCTCGAATGTGGACCGATCTGGTACAGTCTGGACATTAAAAGATGTGATGTGAAATTGTATCCTACTTTCGCAAGATTACTTGCTGCCTTGTTAGTGTGGTTAACAAATTTAAAATGGATTTCCTATTAGACAAGATGAAAAACAGTGATCAGAAACGAGGGAAGGTAGAGATCTTGTAACGCGAGCATCGTCCGAGGATTCCCAACTATGGTGCTTAACTGAGTAGTCTGAATCACAGGCAGTGAGATAACCAGAAGATAGCTTGCTTCGCGCTAATCCAAGTCAGTCTAACGCCCTAGGCAGTGAGAAGCGTGACGTTTGACTACACAGCTTCGGTCGGCCACATGTAGCTTAAGGATATGGCGATTTGCCTAGGCGTTTCTCCATCGTATCATGTGAAAGACCTGCGAATACAGTTCACTGCAAGTAAGCATTAAGAGTCAGCACACTGCCAACTGGAGTTTATCTGGCCTGAGGCAACTGCAGGTGCTGGCTGGGGATCTGAACTCTCAAGCTGGAAAATTGTCCACTGATAAGCTGCATCCGGGCGGTCAACATGGTGTAGGCAACCATAATGATAACGATTAGCAATTGCTTCATTTGTGTGAAGATGCTCGCTTATTTCTTGCAAACACCAACTTTTGACACAGCACCAGTCGGAACATGACACGGCGTCCATCAGATTTAGACCAGTTTTGGAAGCAAACCGATCACATTGCGATCATTTACAGTTGGAGGGGTTGCGTCCAAAACTCGCTCGATTTGGAGCACAGGTGTTGACACTGACCACGCACTTGTGTGTGCTGAACTGCAAGTGCGTTTTCGAGGACGTCTGCGACGACCCCGTGAACGCATAGACACCAGCCAGATGTTCAGAATGCGTATCGAGGTATGCTAGCATCCAGGACAGTTAGTCACTCGTCGTATATTCATCAGACCTTACTAACAATAGTTAAATCTTCAAGTGGTAAGTCTAATTGCCAACATGGACAATGGGTCTCTTCGCGGTCTCTGGAACTTACTGATGCTCGTCGGCACATTCCGGCTTGAAGCGAACAGGAGACTCGTAATGACATCAGGGCAAAACTTCGTGCTAGCCTGAAGAGAAACCGCGAATCCTGGTGGTCCCGTCGTGTATCAGAGATGGAAGTGGCCGCTGCCCTTGGTAACCATCGGAAGTTATTCCGACTGATACGGGAAACGGGCAGCAGGAGACCTGGTGTTAGAGAAACAATTTGTGACGAGAGTGGACAGCCTATCCACAATTGGTCAAAACGTTTGGAGCGTTGGGCTGAACATTTTGAAAAGCAATTTAATCGGCCGGAATTGTTCGATTCTTCAACGGGCAGTGATCGCCCTGCTCCCTGGGCTGACCCCTTAGATCCGCCCTCTCGCTTAGAAGTCAAACGTGAGATCGGACTGTTGAAGTTGAATAAAGCCGCGGGACCAAATGACCTTTCTCCAGCCCTCTTCAAATTCAGGAGCCCTGATTTTGTTGATGATTTACACGAATTATTAGTGAAACTGTGGGAACAGCAAACTGTCAAAACCAACTGGAGCAGCTCCGTTATTGTCCTGATCTTCAAGGGAGGCTCACGATCGGAATGCGGCAATCATAGAAGAATCAGTCTGATCCCCATCGCCACCAAATTACTTGCCACTGTAATTCTTCACACACTGGTGATTGTGAACGCCAGATTCGTGAGGAGCAAGCCGGGTTTCGCTGAGGCCGTGGCTGCATCGATCACTTATTCACTGCGTCAGCTATTGGAGCACCGTCATATACATTGGCGGCCCACCGTTGTCGTGTTCCTGGCTATCAAAGGAGACTTCGATTCGGTTGATCGATGTGACCTTTGGGAATGTCAACTCAGGAAGGATGTGCCCAAGAAATATACAAATATTATCCGAGCGCTTTACGCGCGTATCCCAGGCCGAGTGAGGGCATGCTGTCGCTCACTTTCAATATCTCCAGCAGTGTAAAAAGGATGTCCACTGTCAGCTTTCATGTGTAACTTCGCTATTGACGAAGTCATGGAGACTGCATTCACAGGACACGACTTAGAAGATGTGGAACTGCTCCAAGGTGAACGACTTCTTGACTTGGGATATGCTGACGACATTGTCCTAATCTGTGACAGCTCACGAACGTGCCAAACAGCAATATACAGATTAGCACCGGCTATCAGCCGTTTTGGGTTATACTTTGCTCCCTCGAAGTGCAAAGTTCTCCTTCAAGATTGGTAGGGATTGCTTCCTGCGCTGACCATTAGTGGGGATCAGCTAGAAGTCGTTCAAAGATTCAACGACCTCAGCAGTTGTATCAACTTCGCTGGAATTGAAGATATCACAAAAGCATGATGCGCATTTGCTAACTTTCGCCACCTACGGCGCCGGCGCGATACCTCTCCTTGAAGGGTGGAGTGTACAATGCAGCAGTACGTACGACCCTGCTGTACGGTTATGAAACTTGGCGCATCAAACTGGCAGAGGTAAAAAGGTAAGGTACGTTCGACAACCGGTGCCTTCGCAGTTTGGCTCACATCTGGTGGGAACACCTTGTGAACAATGAGCATGGTTTATGTCACAGGAAAAAGAAGTAAACCGCTCGGCACCGTTACATCACACACCGGACTCCGATGGCTGGGCCACGGGTTGCGCATGTCAACCCACCGATCACGTGACGTGCATTGTTTGTGCGCCAGGGGTGTGGCTTGGAGAAGAGGAGAGGTAGGCAAACTATGACTTCATCAATAGGAAAAAAGGCTCTTAGTTCGTAGTTGGCTTCAGCTGGAACCTCTCGAGTCCGAAAGACGATGAACACGTTTGGCTAGACACAGTTGTTGATGTGGCTAGGAGCGGACCACAGTGGCTTTTGTGTTATGAGTTTCTCTGTCCATCCCCCTCCCACGTAGCCTCCTCCTCCAACCAGGATCTCGTTTACTAGGCATAATGTAACTTTTTAGCTGCACAATAGCCGGCTGTTAGCTCTCCGGAACCATGTTCATCCGTTATTGTTGACTCAGCCGGTGTGCCTGTTGCATTTTTCTTCACTTTTCTTATGTATGGCAGCACAATAGCTGAAGTGTTTTCCACCTTTAGCTAACGTGTATGATGATGATGTCGGCATGCTTCGCGCTAAGCCAAGTCAGTCGAACGCCCAAGGCAGTGAGAAGCGGGACGTTTGACTACATAGCTTCGGTCGGCCACAAGTAGCTTACGGATGTGGCGATTTGTCAAGGCGTTTCTCCATCGTAGCATGTGAAAGATCTGCGAATACAGTTCACTGCAAGTAAGGTTTGAGAGTCAGCACACTGCCAACTGGAGTCTGTCTAACCTGAGACAACTGCAGGGCAACTCCCTGAGCAAGAGTTGGGATCTTGCATCGTCACAGACAATCCGTGACGTCCGTGCTATAATCTAGAAGAGTTAGAGGTTATAAGGCTGGCTTGCAGAACAACCTCCTAGTGGTACCAGCTGGGTGGTTCGGGATTTGCCCGTTCCAGCGAATGGTTCGGCGGCAGTGTTCCAGGACGCGGTTAGTTGTCGTCTGGCAAGCTTTCTTCCTATAAAAAGCCACATATGTCCGTTCAACAACACGGCGACGTGGCGGATGTGATTCACTACCAAATAAAGTCACTGCCCCTTGTTTCCCTAGAGTGGAGCATGGTATTCCAGTTGTCAGATGATGTCATCGTGGGGAGGATTGAGCCCCTGTTTGGTACTTGACCAAACGAAAGGCGTATGAAACGAGTAATCGGTCAC